ACCCCGGGAATCACAACGTACCCCATCCATGGGTCTCCCCACGGTTAAATAAGCTGCGTAAAAAGACAAAACAAATTTTATCACAGATGTATGTGTATCAACACAATTAACCCTTCGTCCCACTAGGTTTTTTTGGTATCTTTACGCCGCATAGGTGGGTCGTTTTCGTCTTGACGTTTTTTTTAAGTGTTAAAGTGTTACAAAAAATCTGAAAAAATTCATGAAGGTAATTCAAACCTTCAATTTGAAGTATCAATCATAAAATTATAAGCAATTTAATTTTTTCACATATTTTTTATTTAAGAAATGGAGCAACTACAACTACAACTTGTAAAATCATCTTTTACTCAAAAAATCATAACTTTAAGACAAATAAAGATATCGAAATGAATAAAAAAAAAAATTGAAGGGGAAAAACGTACCTTTCATAAAAAAAATATTGCATGCAATTATTTTGAAATGAAGTGCTTAAGTGTTCGCCGCCAACCTCGTTTTTTCAAGAATTACGTGTCTCCTGTGACGGCTGGAGGGGGTCTGGCGCCTTGAAACTCGGTAGGCGGATTCTCGGGGAGCATAACTTTTTTTACGGATGCGCAGTGGCGCCATTTCTACGCGTTTGCAAAAGTTACAACTACATTTGATTTTCGCCCGGACGAAAACGACCCACCTAGTGGGACGAAGGGTTAATTTTTAGTCAAAGTTGGGATCGAGTCGGATCAAGTCAGGTCAGGTCTGTTCAGGTCTTGTTAAAAATAATATAAAATATAAGTACATGAAAAACAAAAACAACAATTTAAAGAGAACATATTGCCTTGGAACGAATATAATTAATTTAATTTTTGTAAAAAACTGATCTATTTAATTGTTAAAATTAAATACAATTTTTTTATAGTACTCGAGTCAATAATCTTGATGATGTATCAAAGTAAAGATTATCAAAAATACTTCATCCATCTATACATACCTTGCTTCATTTCGAAGATACTTTCGTTCGAATCTACAAAGTTGTTGACTTTATCCGTCAACTGCAGAGCCAATGATTGAAAGCGGCTTGGCTCGCTTCGATGCATAACTACAGTTCCAAATAACTCATTAATCGTACTAAAAATTGTGCATTATTGAGCTTCAGTTTGTTGATTATGTCAAAATGCTGTCCATTGCCTCAAATAATAATCCAATAAAGTGCCATAAACCATTTTCCAGAACAGTGCTACATCGACGGCATCAGCAGTCAATTTTTCATTGCACTGTTGCTACACTTTCTATATCAGCAAATTTTAATGAGCAGGTAAGCATACAATATGCTTTCATCTTTTATTTGAGCGCTTATATTCAATCGTACGGTGACTCCATCCTTCTTATTTGAGATCTTCCGTAAGAATTGTCCATATATTTCATCTCTCAATTCAAGATGGCTGACATGGGTATACAGGGCCCTTAAGATTACATCTAGTTACAACAATTACTTTATTATATTATAACTATATAATATTATAATAACTATTATTATATTATAATTATAACTTTGAGTAAATATAAGAATTATAAGATAGTTTTAGAGAAACATTATCTATCCAAAATTATCGATGTAAAAATTGAATACCTATTTCCTATTGTCTAACAACAACAACAAGGTATACTGGCTAAACATGCAGTGATATTTTTCAACATGAATGTAGAATGTATAAAAGTCCAATTTTGTTCAGCTAATATGTTCTACAGCATGTTTTCCTTGCCAAGACATCTCATCTGTCAAATTTGCATACTCTGCCGCTGGTTTCTAGCGTCCATGAAATAAATAGAAACCAGCGGCAGCGTCTCAAGAAAATGTAGTGGAGGAAAAAGTTTAGACCGTCTCAGCTTTTTAGCGTACCACAAAATTCAATTAACGGAACATTTTCCCCCACTACATTTTCTTGACGCTGCTGCTGGTTTCTAGCGTTCATGAAATTGCACCTGAACGGACCCAAAGTTTCCGTTGAGCGGAAGAGAGAGAGAGAGAGCTACATGATAGAAAGAAAAAGAAGATGGCAGATGTGCGTGGAATGACCTGCGTGACCGTCCAGGCGCTCGCTGCGTATGGAAGGAAAGGTCGGGATGGATCGGATAGATCGAGGATAGTCGAGGTCTTTTCTCGCCTAGCTGTTGAAGAGTGCGGACGTACAGTCGAGTGCGGTCTTAGAGTATTCTAGATAGCGTAAGTGTAGCGAACGTAAGCAATTTAATTTTGCAATTTTTTTCTTATATATATATATATATATATATATATAAGAAAAAAATTGATATATATATATATATATATTCACCCTTTGCCTTCACCTACTTCTTCTCTCCCTCTTTTCCAATTCTTCCCTTGCTCTCCCGGGTGCCTCCCTTCAGCTTTTCCACGTCCCGTCTCTCAAGTTCGCTCCTCGCCTTACTTCCCGCCACGTGCGTTTGCCATGTGCTCACCTCGTTCAATCGACCCGAAAAGTCAAACTACGGGAGTTCGGGTGACGACCAAGACTTCTTGGACGAGGCACATATTACTGGATTCCATTTTGCGTGTCGCCCTAGGAGGTTCTGGTTAGGTCTCTTCTCTTCGGGAGCAGCGGATCGGTTGCTGGTCTCGAGTCGAAGGTCGAAGTGTCTTCTTTCGCCGCGGCGCCGATTTTTATAAAGGGGTCGATAGATTCGGTGAAGAGGCCGATCCTCGTGCGAGCCACGTGGCGGTCGGAGCAGTGCAGATGAATTACGCGCGCTCGCACTCGGCGGAGAGCGGAGATCGGCTCCCGTCGGCCGCAAACGCTCGCGCACACGATAATTTTGAGCGAATTAAAAAAGGTGGGCGCACCGCGCCCTATCCTCGCCCGACGGATGATCGGGCGGCATCCGGCGGATGTTAGCCGGGAGACGATGCGTTGACAAGGGTGCATCGTTACAAAAGAAATAAATACATATATCTATTTCATAAAAAAAGAACATGTTACAATGCAGAATATTGAGATAAAAATTAAAATATATAAAATAATTATTTGTTAACAATTTATTCGTAATATTCTATAATAATAGTACAATTTGTTAATAGAAAAGTAAAGAAATTATAGTTTCAGTGAAAATTAATGTTTTTAAAAATAGATGCTATATATAATATTATATTAAAATCTTTAGTTAACTAAAAATCTATAGTTTACGTTACGTAATACACATGCAGACAATAGTGTCAGTATTAGCAATGTGAATAGAAGGAAGATGAATTTAGATTATACAATCTTTATGCTATAATTACAAATATATGATATTATAATGCATTTTAGCATATGCTACAAAAGCAAGGATTATAATTCTCCATATTTTTGGTCTTCTTTCAGAGAGAAAATATGGCATCCAATTACCAAACATTATATGGTGAGAGTTGTGGTCGATATCCTTATATCGGCAGAAAATCCGTGGGAGAAGAGGATATTAGAGTTGACTTCATCTATCAATTTGTGAAGAAAAGATACGTTAAAATCCACTCTAATTGCAGTGTATTTTATACTGCCCCTGACATAATTGGACCACCCAAATTTTCAAACTATGAAGAACCATTTCAGGTAATTATTTAAATAGAAATATTTAAATAGATGAATTTTCCTCCGCGACTTTAACTTTGACATATGTAGCCAAGATCACTCTTCTGAATAACATTTCAAAGATTTAGCAGTCGTTATTGATTAAAAAGTTATTAACAAAAGATATAAATAGAATATAGATTACTTTAACACCGTATTATAGATAGAACTCTAAGTACGTAATAAGCATGTATAGTATAACAAGGTGTATATATATAGACTTATACATAAAAAGGAAGAAGCTGAATCCTTCTTCCGCCCACATGTATACTGTCTATAAACACATATCAGCAAATTGACTTTCCTTAATTAGCACTATTATATTTCTCAAACTTTTTTGTTAATAACGTTTTAATAAATAACGAACGACGGCTAAAACCTTTGAAAGGTTATTCAGGAGAGTGCTCCCTGTAATATATATGTCAAGGTCAAGGTCGTAGAAGGTTGCTCCTTTAAACTAAATAAATATCCTATTTTATTCTTCGTGTTTCAATGGAGGAACATATTTCATAGTATGTGTATTATCCGTTATATTGTCCTGTACAAAGTAATCGGAATCTGAATTTATATGCTACAAGAATTTTTCTACTGTTTGATACATTTTGACTTTTCAAAACAGAAATTGAATCGATGGAATAATGATATCGACATTTCAATAACTCCGTGGCAATACCAAGAATCCATGATAACTTATCATAGTATACCATGGCCGCCATGGCATCAACCGAACGGACATAATTACATTGGTATGTGATACCTGAATTCACAAGTAAGATATTGTTAAAGAAGATACGTTTTTGTTGAGAAAAGAGTATAATTATATTTTCTTTTTTGAAGATATCGAGTTTCATGAAGCTGTATATCCAATCAGAGTTTCTATATACGAAATGTCACGAAACAATCCTGGAGACGTAATTCAAATTTCGGCTCAAGATGATTCTAATAATGAGTGGTTTAAATTGTGGGAAACTGATTATAAGTCTGAGATTGTACCCCCGACATCAAGATTATTTTCTCCACCCTTATCACACCCGCGTGACTTTAAAACAAAAATGCTAAGACTATTTTTTAAAAAACAGAGCTACAGCTACAGAGCTACAGCTTTCGGTGAAATACCTGCTTACACAAAGGTAGATGCTGTGATGCTTATCGGTACATCAGAGTTGGTTCGTCCTAGAAATTATAAGAAGAGTTTAACTAATCTGTTAAAGGAAATTAACTGCATGTACTTTCCACACCATGAGGATATTCATAATTTAACAGCAGATTTCAAAAATGCACACTTGGATATAGATTATCTGCAACGACATTTTTCTGAATATTGCATTATAATGGAATATTGTAAGGATGGAAGGTATTATTATCAACATTAAGTAATATTAAAATCTCTTTATTCTGTTAATAATAAAAATGAATTTGTTCCTATGTTATTTGCAGCTACATAAGAAGGGTTTCTAAGGGGAGTATTTTGAGAGAGAATTTGATGCACAAAAATGTATCTCTGGAGATAATTCGTCATTCGAATTGTGCAAAACGTATAATACTCTCTTCGGATGAATCCAAGGAGCTATCACGTTGCAATATATCTGACTTTCCTGTAAAGTATTCTAAGAAGCCTATTTTTCATAATATTTATTGCAATATCATCTCGTGTATTAAAGTTTTATATTTTATCTTTGCAGGATGAAATACTACTAATAATATTAAAAAACTTGGATCTGATGACGTTATGCCGCTTGAATTATGTAAACAAACGCTTCAATGAATTGATACGAGACCCTCATCTTTATACACGTTTGAATATACACTATCCAGTTGCCGCAGAGTATATTGCCCAAGCCCAAAATATCGCAAGACGCATGAGCAATATATTATGTTACTTTACATCTAGATGTAAATATTTGCAGCAGTTAGATCTTACAAAAAGCACGTTTGATGTTGAGGATTTTACAAACTTTCTTGACAATTGTGGCAGGCGGTTAACGCACTTAAGATTAAAATACTGCCGTTCTATCAATAATCTTGCCCTACTTAAAATTTCAGAGATATGTGTAAATTTGAAAGGTATGTATATACGTATAAAGTATATGAAACATGTGATTGTTGAGATTATTGGTAAATTGTATATGCTCAACACATATCTCTTTGTAGAATTAAATCTAGATTGTTGTGATGGCATAAAGGACGAAGGATTTTCGTATCTCGAGAAATTAAATGGTTTGGAACATTTAAGCCTTCGTCGTACACTTATAACAGCTGAACGTTTTTACAAAATACTACAAAAAAATCAACGGATGCGTTTTTTTATTTTCCCTACAACCGCAACCGAGACCGCAACACAGTTTATGAGATTGTGTCCTAACTTGGAAGTAATACGTTTAGACAACTGTATTAATTATACATCGCAGGATATTGACGTTCTCGCTGACTGTAAGAATATACGACAAGTGTATTTTCCCAAGTAAGTGTGTGCTTCTTAATTTTCTTTAAATACATGTTTACTATATTTTTTATTGAAATTTGTATTTGCTTCTCTTGCATTTCGAGGATCTTAAAAAAGTTACATTAATTTTCTTTGCGCTTCTTCATAGAGAAAATTGTGTTTCTTGTAAAAAGGAGTTCTTTAACTTTATAAAAATTTTGAATGTTTTGAGAAATGTTCGTGGTAGCTCTAACTTCCGCAAATTTTGAGATATTGAGCTATTTATAATTCCATTATATTCTTCAGTCCTTTCTACCCTTATTTCATATATAATTCTTTAAGATTTGGTTGATTGTACCTAGCTTTATACGCGATCAAAAGTTCATATGCGGAGTCCATATATAAACTGTATAGCCTGAACTCCAAAGTCAACTTCAATTTGACATTGCGTCGATTGTAAAACCCCACTTGTGCTAAGCTGATCTTCTATCAATTCATAAAAAAATTAAACTTAAAATTTGAAAAAAAGTGTGCAAATTAGGAACTCGCTTCCTCATTATTACAGATCGATCGCTACCATTGCTCCTATTTTATTTAGTTCATAAAGCTTTCTCTATGAGGGAGCTAAACTAATAAATACTAATAATAATTATGCATCAA